TTTTGAGTCTTAAGAATTCAGTCTAGGTAGATAAAAAAAATCATACCTATGAAACCAGAGTTGTCACATGATGGTCTGTGTGTAAAGGCAAGCAACGATCCTAAGTCACCAAAACCCAGAATCTCTCCATCTTCCCACGTTTCCACTCTCAGTTTGTCAGCTACCTAGGACTAGCTTTCCTCATGGTTGCAAAATGGCTGCCATGACTCCAGGCATCACAGCCCCTACAATGCCTAATAGAAAAAGATAAATCCGTTATTTCCTGGGCCTCTCTCTTTTCCCTTTTCTTTCATTTTCATTTATTGTCTTTTCTTTCTACTGTATCCATCTAGCTATTTTTACATATGCATTGAGACATGTTAAGAGGATGTTCACCTGATGTGCATTTTAATACATTGCTTGATTTGTCTTTGTAATGAACATTTATCACTTTTTAGAAAAAACGATGAAGACAGGAATCCTCAGAATTCCAAAGAAACAAAATCTCACTGTGTCATTCACCCACTTAAGATTACCAGTGGCTTAGGCTGACCCACCACTGAAAAGACAAGAGACGAACTCCTTGGTAGATTTTATTTATTTATTTATTTTGAGAGAGAGGTTTTTGGTATAGGGTACGTGCACTTGCTGGAGAGTCAGAGAGACAGAGAGACAGAAAGCGAGAAATCACCCCCCAGGGGGATGGCCACACCACAATCCCTTCTCCTTGCAGGATTTTGTGCATATGCACATACGTGTACCTGGTGTGAGTTTTAAGCCACCAGGCCCGGGACGTGAACTGCGGTCAACACATGGGAGTCCGGCGACGTAACCATTATGTCATCTGCTGGTCCCCCTTGGTGGAGAATTAAAGCCCTCTGTAATCTGGCCACAGCGCTCTTGCTATGGAACATTGGTCCTCGGACACGTGGACATTACAAGCTTCCTGCCTGGGCTCAGGCCTCTGTCCACCGCGCTCTGGGCTGCCTCAGTACCCAAACCAAAAGTCTCTGCTTCCTCTAAGCCTCCCCAGGAAACCCACCCAGAAGCGATTGCTGCCTTGTCTGGGGGCCCGAGAAGTGTATACCCTGGCCGTGTTCACACCTCTTACCAAGTGCCTCTCCACGCGGTACGCTGGAGTCTGCTTCCCTCCACTCCCGGGGCTGGTTTCTGCCTCTAGTCCTGAGGTGCCACTTTGCTATCTCCACGTCAGCCAGGGTGGGGACAGTGAGGCCATGGAACCTGGCAGATACCATAACCAGCGACTTGCTAAACGTGGGCCAGGGCTCCCCCATTCACACAGGGTCCCTCCGTGTAATCTTGTTGAGCTCCAGCCGCCCTCCTCGCAGTCCCACGCTCCAGGCAGGAGCTCCGTCCTGGACTCTGAGCCTCTGGACATGCCACACGAGCAGAAGGGTGGTCCAGGAGCCTGCGTCTGCCCGCCGTGAGCGTCAGCTAGCCCTCCCCCAGCTGCGCGGTGTGGAGCTGCTGAGGCCCCTCCTGTCAGAGAGGGGACAAACAGGACTTAGCGGCCACGGAGACATAAATAGCCGCCCCCCCCAGCCATGACTGCTGGCCTCCTGGTGGTGCTGAAGGGCACCCCCACCTTTCTAGGGAGATTGGACATGACAGAGGAGCTAAAGGTGGGCCGGGCAGCGTTCCTCCGGGATCCACGAGTCCACCATCTGGAGCTGTGACTGCCACAGGTCCGGGTCTGCGCAGGGTCCCCAGGGAACTGACAGCCCCTGCTGTGAGACACACCCCGCACACCACAGGCCTGGTGACATCGGAAGGTGCACCTGGCCCCAAAGCGCAGAGGAGAGGGGCCCTGGGACACGCACCCTCAGAGGCAGACCCCAGGGCCGCTCCTCTGTCCTCTCCCTTCCGCCACCGCGCCCGGTCTGCGGGTCTCTCTGAGTCATGCTTGTTAATGAAATAAACCCGAGTTCTGGTCTAGCCTCTGTACTGCGCGGCCTTAGACGAGGCCCTGGAGGCCGAGGCTGGCAGAGGGGCCACACCACACAGGCTGGGGGAGAGCATGATGCGGCCTGGGTGGAGGGCCAGGGACCCACGGCGCTTTCCACAGTGTCCGTGGTGCAGAGGGGCTGGCTTGGTGTGGCAGAGGGGACAGGAGGCTGGTGGGTGGCCCTAAGAGATACGTTGGTGCGTTAGGGGAGGGAGGTGGCAGTCGGAGGGAGACAGCGACCATGGGGGTGAAACCAGGAGGTGAAGCTGCAGAGTGGGGACAAGGGAGACCAGGGTGTCCCCGGGCTCCGCTCTGCAGCATACGTGCCCAGGGAAGGTCCAACTGCTGTATCTGAGGCCCAGGTTAATAGGCTGGCCCGAGAGCTCACTGCCGGGTGAGTCCTGGGCTCCTGACTCCGGGTCTGTTTCACACTGCTGCCGCTGAGCCGCACAGGGTCCGGGTGCACCGCTATCCTGTGTCCCCTGCCTGAGAGATCCCGGGGGTGGAGACAGGCCTGGTCACCGTGGCATGTGCCCACAGTGCTGCCCGTAGGTGAGGAGAGCTGGGCTGGCCTCCTAGGAGCCGCGAGCTTGGAAAACTTGCCCCGTCTCTACTCAACCTCTGTCCCTTATCTGAAACTTGAGAAAGGGCCGCTCACCTTCATGGAGCTGTCCTGAATATCTCTGTTTAAAATAAAGCCTTGTTCCTGAGGCTAACGTGACGTCAGGCGCGCCAGAGCTCTGTAAACCGTGCCGAGCGCGTGAGAGGTCAAGTGAACATGTTCTTGGTATGGGCGGTGGGGTGAGAGGATGAGGAGGAAGGGCATCTCGGGCAGGGGCACAGCCCAAGCAAAGCCCGAGGGTGGGAGGAGAGGGCCGTGGGACGGGGGTGGCAGCTAGAGCTGCCAGGAACCTGTCCGACATGGAAGTCCTCTTACCCACGGGGTCCACTCCAAGGCCTCCAGCGAGGCCCCGCGGGCCCTATGCTGCTGTTCCGTGCAGCCAGCGATGGAGCGTGATTTATAACTCAGGTGACAATAATAGCCGTCGATAATTATGATGATGTCCTGTAACAGAAGTTCTGTGGGGGTGATCTTGTGGCAGGATGGCTTGGCGATGCCCAGGTTCTTGGTGTTTGGGACAAAGAACTGAATGAAAGACCAACAGTGAAAGCAAAGGGAAGTTTATTCAGTGACAGCAGAAGTACACACCTAGAATTAGGAGCGGCCTGTGGGGAGAGAGAGAGAAAGGGAGAGAGAGAGAGGCTCGAGGGCCCTAGAGGTTCTTTCCATGGGGGTTTATAGTTCCTGGCTGGTCATCGGCTGGGGCCCCTGGCTCTCTCTAACCTCTCTTTCCTGAGATGGGCCACAGCAGTTAGGCTTGCTCAGTTCCGTTTGGAAAGCAGGCGTCCCGCAGCCACAGGGGCCAGGAGAGCTGGGGCCGGCCACGTTTTTCTCTCCCCTCCAGCTCCAGAGGGCAGAGGGGAGGAGAGCTGTTTGTGGCCCTGTCTGCCGATCAGTAACTCAAGCCAAACTTAATTGCTTCCCTGAACCTGAAAAATATCAAACTGCATAAATAAATGTGCTCTAAATTATTAATAAAGGCATTTACATCTAGAGTTGGAGCATGGAAATTAATGTAATGTCTTATGCTAAACCGACCGGCGTGCACGTGATTTGAGGATTCGGAGACGCACAGGCCAGGGAAGGAAATGAAGATAGGAAGTGTGCAATCTCGGGCATTTTGCATTTGAAAATCTCAAAACCAGTCAGGAGGAAGGCATGCGTGGGGAGGTGTGGGAGCAGGTCCTCCTCAGACCACATTGAGGCAACTCAGAAACAGGAACGCCAAGGTCGCCTTCGCCTCCGGCCCTCATTCTGAAGTGAGCCTGAAGTTTCTGCGAAGGGGGTAACCGCTCGCCTTTCTCAAGGCCTCGTACGAGCAAGCCTGAGGTTGGAATGGTCCCAGTACTTGGGCTGGGGAAGCAGGTCCCGAGGC